ACAGAGAGGTTGGAAACGCTTGTGAGCATCACGGAGAGTCACTGCTGCTGTGGGAAGCAAGGAGGAACAAAGCCCTAGAGGGTGTGCAAGGCACAGGGAAGGGGGTGACCAGGCTGGGTTTACAAAGAGACAGGAGGAAGGGATACAGGCAGGAGTGACAGCATCCAGAGGGGAGAGACAAACACGAGGCACCAAGCAGAGGCCATGTGCACACCCCTTCTTGCAAGGAGGAGGAGCCCAACCCAGTACTGCCCCCAGCCGGGGCAGGAGCAGGCAGCAACCAGGGAGGCACTGCTGGAGATCCTGCCCATCTGCAGGCAGGCAGGGAGAGAGCAGCAGGCAGAGCCAGGGCATGGCTGCCTGCAGGCACACCATGCTTCCAGGAGCCAGGGCAGGGAGTGCCCCTCTTCTTGGGACCCCACCAACAGAGCCCCTCTTTAAGCCACTATCTCCAAGTCTGGAAGCCCCCAACCTAGGGATGCCACCAGCTGCCCACTCACATGAACAAAGATGCAGGGCAGGAGAGACCCCCTCCCTTGCTGGAGTAGGCAGGAGCCGAGTTCCAGGCAGTGAGACTCCACCCCCCTTTTCTTCTCCCTACCCCATGGAGAGGGGCACAACCCCAACACCATGATCAGAGCAGGGGGCAGTGCCACAGCTTCACTTTGGGGGCAACTTCGTGCCCTGCTGTAGCAGGGCTGCTGGCCCCCAGTGGCTCCTGCTCTGGCCTCCCCCGGGTGCCATGGGCTCTGCGGCTGGAGGATGGGGTGCTGTGGCTGCCCCCCGGTGCCGGCAGGGAGCTGTGCCCACCTGCTTGGTGGTGCCCTGCAGCTTCCATCTCAGAGAGGCTGTAGGCCATGGCCAGCTGCAAGTCCTCATCCTCATCCTCGCTGTCCGTGTAGAGGCAGACGGGTGAGGAGTTCGAGGGCTGGCGTGGGGCCGGTGGTGGGGGCGAGGAGGGCCGTGGCCTGGGGAAGGCTTGCTGCTCCCGCCGGCTCAGCTCCAGCCCCAGCGCCATGTCATCAGGAACACCTGTGGGGACAGGGGTTGGGGGACTCTTTCACTCCAGCTCTCCAGAGCTGGTATGGAGCCCCAGCAATTCCTACCCACCCCACTAATCCTTCACAGCAGAGCTCCAAACCAGGGCTGACCAGGGCTCAGTCCAAAACCAAGCCTGGATGTAGCACCTCCTGGATACCCCAAAGGAGGAGAGGGGTCCCCAAAGGGATAGGGTGCAGACCCCAACAAGTCAGTCTGCAGTGCTGCTTCTCACCATCGATGTGGATTGACTTTAGCTCCCCGTCTTCCTCCACTTCCACCCGCTCCCGCCCGTTCTCAATAATCCTGCAGACAAGACAGACGGATGGACAGTCAAGGGCCATGCAGCCAGAGCACTGCAGCAGGAAGCTGCAGGGTCTGGGGCCCACCAACAGAGAGGGGTCTACGAGGGCAAGGTGGGGCAGCACCGCCCTCACCTCTTGGTGGTGATGCGCTTGCCATTAACGAAGGTGGTGGAGGTGGAGACAGAGCGGAAGCCCAGCCCTGCGTCCGCGCCAGAGCTGAAGGATGATGCGAAGAAATCTGGAGAAGGGAGCGACAAGGTCGGTGCCAGGGTGGGGGTCACAAGGAAAGTAGGGGACAGACCTTGCAGAGGGGGACATAGTGTTCCAGGACTTCACTGCTGGGAGGAATGGCAGCATCTCCTACCTGAGGATCCTGGGAAGGCAGAAAAGAAGTGGCCTCCCCCATGGTGCCGGGGGCCAGGTCCTCGCAGCTCAGAGAAGGGAAGCACGTCATCTGAAAGGCAGGACCCCCTCAAAAGCATTACCCTTGCAGCATGGTAACCCAGGAGCAGGGCATTGATGTGGTGACTCCCTGCTGGGGCCAGCCTGAGCTCTGTCCCCAGGCCCAGCGGCTGCCCCAGGGCTAGAGAGATGCCCTAGAGCCAGCCCTCCTCGCCCTGCACGTACCAAAGAATTCAGCAAAGGGGTCTCGCCCACCAAAGAACTCCCGGAAGACATCGTGAGCGCTGCGGAAGGTGAAGGTGAATTCGGGCGCCCCAGCATTGGCCCTGGAGCCCCCTGCTCCTACAAGAGGGAAGAGGCTCAGAGTTAAGTGGAGCTGTGGGTGAGAACTCCCCTGAAGGATGGGGAGCCCTGGTGGCACCAACCCGCACCAGGTCCTCAGACTTGGATGTATCCAGAGCTGCACTAACCTCCATGGCCCTGCTCACACACTCACCTGCTCCCATGAGTCCATCCTTGCCATAGCGGTCGTAGACATCACGCTTTTGCTCTGGAAGAAGAAAGGGGGCTGCAGAGAAGCCAGCTGCCAGGCACTGGCAGGAGCACTGACACTTCTCCCAACTAAGGGAAGTGCAAAACAGCAGGGAGCAAGAGGAAGCGGGTTGCACAAGCCCCTGCCACACCAGCACTGCACCCAAACCCAAGAAAGAGCAAGGGCACACAAGCCTCAGCTCTGTGGGGGAGATGCCATCGTGGAGGCCAGCATCCCTCCCAAGAGCTCTTTCAGGGGATGTATGGGGAAGTAACCAAGCCCCACAAGCTGTGTGGTCCCCTTCAGGGACCCACTGCCTCATGGGGACATCCAGGAATGCAACCTGGGTGAGCTCAGCAGCAGGACACCTATGGGCAAGCAGCCCCAAGGGCAGGGATGCACACACGAGACATCACCATGGCCTCTTACTGTCTGACAGCACTTCGTAGGCCTCGGCAATCTCCTTGAATCTCTGCTCAGCATACTCCTTGTTATCTGGGTTTTTATCCGGGTGCCATTTCAGCGCAGCCTTCCTGTACCTGCACAGAGGGACAGTGATGGGCATGCAGCAGCCCTCAGGCTCCTGGGACAGCAACCCCCGTCTGAGCCAACACCCTCCACCCTGTGGGCAGGGGCACTCCAACCCATGTCACCCAGTGCCCTACAGCCTCAGGCACCATACAGGACCTTCCTGGACTGGTTCTGCCTCCTGAGGAGAATATAAATTTTATGTATCTATATATATATAATTTATATTTATACATACACACACCAATACACACAGAGTAAAAGAACAAACAAAACAGAAATGACCCCAGAACTGCGGCGTGAGCACAGCGGTGCAGCCTGTGCCCACCTCAGCTGCCGTTGGTGATGGCCTTGGACAATGCTCACAGGTTTGTTCTGGAGCCTTCCCAGGCTCCACCATGAGCATGAATGGACCAGGGGTTGCAGGGGGCCTCCTGGGGTCAGGAAAGCACCAGCAGCCTTTTCCTCCCCCCTGTAGGTAACTAGGGCTATCCCAGGCTGCCCAGCTTCTTCCACCCACTCTTAGGAAGCCCCACAGCAGGCACTTCTGTCCCCCAATGGCAAGCTGACAATCTGCTGGCATTCCCCTCAGGTAATGCCTCACCCCAGTGAGAACAGGAGGATTTCAGCAGGGTGCCAGGCAGGAGTTGCAGAGGCTCCCCAGCAATGCCTGGAGCACGACACCGACCTGCCCACAGGGCCCATGTCTCTATAAGGGGGCAGGCTGCTCCTCACCCTGTGAGCTCCAGTCCCCTGATCCTGACAGCCAGCAAAGCCACTGTGCCCCATCCCTCCGCCACCCCACACCCTCCAGCAGAGAGAGAGGGAAGCCTCCAAACACAAGGGAGACTCGTCTCCAGCCCCAGCCCGGGGCTGACAGCAGGGACAAAGGGACCAAACCCCACCAAGAGATGTCTTTGTGCAGCCCCACTCTGGCCTCCATACAAAGGAAACAAAGGCTGAATTTTCACCTCTAGACCAGGGCCCTGTCCTCACCTGCCCCACAAGGAGCCCCCGCCTAGCTGGTGCCAAGTGGGGGGTGGCTTGTGGGCCTCTGCCCGGTGGGCCTGGACACCCTGCCATGCACTTACGCCTTCTTGATGTCCTCGGCAGTGGCGTTGCGGCTCACCCCCAGGGCTTCGTAGTAGTCCACCATGACGTGAGCTGTCCCACGGGGTCACTGCAGGGGGGGGGAAGGCAAAGTCAGGGGTTCACAAGCACAGCCTGGCAGTGTATGGGACAGCAAGGGCAGACTGTCTGCCCTCTCCAGCGCCCCAGCCACCTCACAACCATCCCAAGAGCAGCTCAGTGCAACCCCATGTCCAGCCGCCCAGCGCCCTGCCTGCACCTCGGCCACCTGGGAGCACCCACAGTCCCAGCCGGGGGTCCCCTTGCTGCTGCCGCACTGCCGTCCCACCGGCATCACCCCAACTCGCCCAGGCAAGGGGTCAGGGTTTCCCGCTGCCAGCGCCCGTCCCCGCCCGCTTCCCGCGGGGGGTTCAGTCCCGGGGCGGTGTGAGGGGGCAGCGGAGGGCGCAGCCCGCTAAGGTGCTTAGCGGCTGGAGCGGATTAAGGGCTCAGGGGGACCCTCCCCGTTCCCGGGCACACCGGGACACTTCCAACGGCCGACCCGCTCCAGGTGGGGGACGGGAGCAGGATGCGGCCGCCCCAGCCCCCCTCCTCGACCCCGCGGTACCGTCCCGCCCCCGGTACTCGCTCCGGCCCGTGCGCCCCAGCTGCCGGGAGGGCGGCGCTGGCCCCGGTCCCGGCCCCAGCACGGCGGCGCTGGGACCGCCCCCCGGCCCGGCCGTAAACACGGCGCTCCCGGGGCCACCAGCTGCTGCTGGAAGTTTCCGCACCCCACCCCGCCGCCACCGGCGGGCGGCCCTGGGCTGCGGCCAGCGGATCTGGGGCACCGGGAGGGGCGGGGGCGGCAGCGCGGGAGGGACCGCACTGGCCCCGCTCCCCCCCGTGCGCCGCGTTCCGCCGGTGCCCCCGCTGTCCCCTTGCTCCCCGCTCCCCCCGTCACGGCACGTCCCGCCCCGGTGCCCACCTGAGCGCCGCAGCAGAGCTCTCCCCGCCCGCCCCGGGCCGCCCGCGGCCGGTGTCGCGCGTCCCCGCGCCCGGGCCACCGCGGGCCTGGAGGCGGCTCCGCTGCGTGACGGGCGGCGGCCGCAGCCAACGACGGCCCCTGACGTCACGGCCTCGCCGTTCGGACGGGTGGCGTCACAGGGGGCGGGTGGGAGCGCGGCCGCTCCGCCTGCCGGACCCTGCTCGGGCACGGCCCCAGCCCGGGGGCCGAGGGTGCGCCCGGGGCAGGGTGCGCGGGGATGGCACTGACCTGGGCCGCTGGTCCCTCTGTGCCCGCGATACCGGGGCACGGCCACCGTCCCGGGGCAGCCCCGGCGCCGCGTGCCCCTGGCGTCCCGCCAAGTCAGCTGCCCGGCCGGTCCCGCCGGGAAGGAGGAGCCGGCTGGGGGGACAGCTGGGGTGACTCAGCGCTTTGTCGGGGCGGGGGACGTGACGGGGCGCAGCCCTGCCAGACCGGCGGGCACAGGTCCCGGCCAGGAGCCTGAGCCGCCTGGCACCACTGTGGCACCGGCAGCCGGGACCGGCGGCCACCCCGAGCACCAGGGTACCCAGGCATCCAGAGAACCGGAGGCCTGCACTGGGAAGCTCGTTGTGGACTTTTCACCTGCATGACCCCTGCACAGGCAGCTGCTGCAGAGGGGCTGTACTCACCCATCCTCAGCATCCTGGGTGGTCTCACCTGGGGACACTCACCTGCACCCGTGAGTGTGTCCTGGCCACGGAGATCCATGATTCCCTCTTGCTGTCTGGATGGGAGAAGGAGGGAGCTTGATCTCTCTGCAGGAAGGCCTCTTGGACCCTCTGCCACTCCAGCATCACAGCTAGGATATCTTCCTCACCTCCCATAAATCCCTAGCTGGGAAGCCTGGCAGGATGGAAAGGCCTGGATGTTGAGACAGGACATTCCCAGTGCTCCTCAGAGACCAGTTTCAGGACAGTCATCCCTGAGAAGTGCCTTTCCCAGCCATGATCTGTGGGCCTGGGTGAGCACTAGGATGTGTGAAATGCCAAGGGCATCATCTCCTGTGTCAAGGGCATTGCCCTCACCAAGGCATGGGAGATCTGTCTCCTGCCATCAGACAGCACTTGATGATTTCCTTGAGCAATGGCTTGGAGTATTCCCTTCCATTGGGGATTTTTTTCCTGCATGCCACTGCAGCACTGTCCCCCTGTACCTGCCTGCCCAGGAGCAGGAAGTGGGTTCCCTGGCGGGTTGCCTCTGACCAGAGTGTCCTCACTGGCTACCAGGGGCTCTGATTTGGCCCATCTGCCCAGCAATAGGTGCAGAGCTGGCATGGACACTAGATGGTGCCACAGGCTGTTTCACAGGGACCCCATCCTGCTGCTGGGAAGGTGTGGAGATGCCACCAGGACCCAGCCCTTGGCACCTTGCTTTGCTTTCCCTGGCTTTTGCAGCTGATGTGGGGACAAGGAAACCCCAGAGTTTACAGGTCTCAGCACACTCTGTGCCCACCAGCGGGGAGGCCTTCATGCTGCAAAAGGAGAGGAATCCACATGCTGGCTGGGACTTTGGAGCCAGGGGAACACATTGCTGATGCCTTCATGGCATCAACAATTTTCCCCCACCCTTCAGATCAGGATATGGAGTGAGAAGGGCTAACAACTCCCTAACGTCCTTAGGGGATGTGGTGCAGAGTTGGGCAGTAGCTGGTGCTGGTAGGATAGAGGATGTGGTGCCAACCAAACCTCGCCCCACAGCTGCCACAGTCACTCCCCTGCTCAAACCTGACAGCAGCCACAGAGAAGCAGCCCATCACCCACCAGTGCCTCACACAGAGTGTACACCTTCAGCCACAGCACCCTGGCCTCTTTTCCCTTTCCTCCTAGGTCTGCCTGAAGTCCTGATGCACCAACCTGCCAGCCTGGCTCACACCAGCTTCAAACCCCGCACAGGCATCCTGAGTGTGTCTCAAGAAGATCCTTATTTCTTTACAAATTCTGGAGGTCACTGTGTTGCAAGCTTGTTTTCACCTCTCCAGTCTCAAAAATGCTCATGAAATACTCTTGAGGTTTTCTGAGAAAAGAGGTTTCGGGTGAGCAAAGCAGGACCCCAAAGGACCAAATTTTTTTATCCTGGTTTACCCAATCTCTCAGGAAGCCAGCAAAATTGCACTATAAACCTGTGCTATATTATTATGCAAACCACAAATTAAGAGATATATGTTTTTCAGCGCTGCACGACATTGCAGCTTTTGATTTCCACAGGAAAACATAAACCTTTTCACAGCCTCATCAAAACTGGCAGTTATGTACTGCAAAATTGTATTCTTGGCAATTTTTGAGCTGTGGAGTGAAGTGCTCAATAAGTGGTGTGGCCACTGCTCCCCTCATCACATGCAGCTGTCTTCCTTCCTCTTCTCCCTGCTCCCCAAGGGAAGGTGCCCTTTCCTTGCAGTGGAGCTGCAGCAGAAAAGGAGCGGGAGCCAGAGCCAGTGGGATGGAGGGAGAAAGGGCTGAGCAGAGCAAGACAGGCTCCTGTGTGCCATTTCTGTGTCACCTTCCTCTGTCTGCCCGCTCCGAGGACAGTCAGCAGCAGCCATGGCCATGGTCCCCATCTCTGGGCATGGCCACAGGGTCAGTGCAGCCCCCAGAAAGGGGGTCAGTGGGAGCTCCAGGGTTTGCTCACCCAAGAAAGGGCTGCACCAGGGTGGGGATCCCCAAGTGCAGGGGACTGATGAGGACTTCACTTGAGCAGGGCACCCATTTTTAAAATCCACATTTTTTCTTTTGCCCTCAGTTCTGCTATCTCATTGAAAGAGCCCTGCCCAGCTTCCCTGACTTCCCTGCACAGTCAATTTCTTCACATCTTTGTGTTTGTTATGCTCCTAGTGTTTGTCTCAGTGGCCAAGCTCTCAGCCACCTGCCCATCTCTTCCTAATTCATTTCTTGTCCTAGCTGGCTGTTCTAGAATTTTACCTTCTAGACGCTGGGGAGAATCCAGGGAGGCAAAGTCATGCAACTGCTTTTAGTTTGCATAGCAGGACAGAGAAGTGAGAAACAGCAAAGTCAGGGTGACTTTCGTTCAAGTAGGGTGATGACATTGGGCCAGATTTAGCAATGTGACAGATCCAGGCTGTGCATCCCAGGCTCTGCCTTGCAGGAGTGCTCGCCTGCGCTTACAATGGGGCTGCTGCCCCAGCCAAAACCCAGGCAAAACTGAGGTGCTTGCAGATTTTAAATCAACAGAGTCAGAGGCTGGCAGAGATGTCAGATGCCCATGACTAAATAAGTTAGCCATGATAAGCAGGCTCACAGGCCCAGGAAGCAGCTGAGCCTCATGGCAGCGGGGTTTCACCCCTATCCCTGGCACGTGGTTGGTGACAGGGTGGGCTGGATAAGCCTCCGGTTCACAGGAGCAGGACACTCCAAACCCACCCATGGTGGGGCTGGAGGCTGCATGGTCTGGATTGGATCCAAAGGTGATGAGAGAGGAAGGATAATGAAAAGACTGATACCACACTCCCCCTCCAAAGGCTGGAGAGCCCTTCAGCTGCAGAGGGAGAAGAATCTGCAGCTGACACTGGACAGGAAGGGATTTTACTGTGAACCAAAACCTGATTTCACTCATGCACACCAACACATCCATGCCCACACACTTCCAAGCACCAAGACCCTCCTGTCCATCTGGCCTGGCCAGGATTTTCCACAGAGCCTGGTAGGACTGGGATCACAGGCTGTCTGGTCCTCACCGTTCCCTCCAGCTACATGGCCAACCTTGGCCTATTGACTTCCTACTAGGCATGTCTCAAAGGCAAAAAACAAGCCAAGCAAGGGCAAATAAAAAAAGGAGATAAAGCTAACACATTTGCATGAGAAGAAAGCAAGAAAAGGCAAAAAAGAATGCCAGTAAACAGCCTTCTGCTCTTTTCCACAGCCCTCGGTGCGTAAATACCAGTGCAACAATGCAACAAGTGCTGTGGATGAAATGGAGAAGGCTGCAGTTTGGATGCCATCTGTAACAAATCAGCATGTAAAGTGTCATCTGTTAATATCAACAGTTTCAATTCATCAGGCCCACACTGAGAGCATTAATGGACTTAACTGAGGGTCTTATTGAGCTGCTGATGGCAATTTTTAATAGAGCTAGGAAAACTGGGGTAATTCCAAAGAACTGAGAACAGAAATCACCTTGATCATTAAGAAAATAAACCAGTTGGCCCAGAAAACTCTAGATTACTGATAATACAGGAAAAAAAAAGAAGAAATAATTTTGATTCTATCAGGAGAGAATTAAATACTGAAAAATGCATTTAGTACTGATAGCCTTGTCTCAGGGAAGGCAGGTATTGCTATGCAAACTTATCAGTATCTGCAACACAATTACATGTCTGGCTGATTCAGATCAACACCGCTGGTATGATATCCTCACTTGGAAGCTGGCAGGAGATAATGATAACAGTATTTGCATAAATCACGATATTGCTGCAAAGAGGGATGGAACAATTGGTGTTCCCTGTCCACAAAAGAAGGAAGTTCTTAGCTGCTGATGATGGTCTTTCCCAGTCTACTTTTTGTGTTGCCCCTGAATATTTATCTCAGGCCTGTTTGTATTCCTGCATTGCACCAGAGGGATCAATAGCAAAGGTGTGTTTGTTAGCCAAGGCTATATTGCCGAGGACCTTCGCGGGGGGGGATCCCCAGGGGTCGGTACAAGGCCCACAGTGATAAGAAATGTTTACTAGGAAAAATTTGGGATAATGCTAAACTTGGTGGGGTAGTAGCTAGTGAAGAGGATGATTAACTCTCAGGGATGGTTTAGAATTCCCCGATTAAAAGGCTACATTGTAGCAAAATTTGCTTTAAGTAATTCATTTGAGAATTTGTAGGAAGGGGCAGTCTTGTCATTTATTACTCTGCACACCCACTTGCCACCCTCACACTTTATCAGCGGCGGTCTGGGATTCACTTCAACACCATTGATTAAACCATCGAAGCCGGCAGTGCTTGGCATGGATCTCTGCAGAAGCCCAGCAGCTCCTGGCTGATGATTCACTGTTGCCAACCAGCATTTTGGTTCCCCAGGTTGCCTCGCTAGGCACCACACTGACAGTGCTGCTCACTTCCCAGGACACCCTCCTCACAGCAAGCCAGTTACATCCCTGCCTTTTCTCCTGAGCAGACCTATCATCTTGAAAACTGAAACCATGCTTGTTTGGCAAGAAGGTCTTCCATGCTAATCAGCACCTGTTAAGGATGCTGAGGGTGCCCCAACATATGCAGGAGTCCTTGGTGCCTGGCTCTTGCCAGACTTTGCATCCTCCTGCCTGGGAGGTGGTAAAGCCCCTCCTGGCTGTGTCCAATTATGGGCTATTAAGTGGCAGAATGAGAACCACACTGTCCAAGCCACGCCATCTCAGGGAAGGGCACAGCAGCCCCAATGTGCACAGGGTGCCTGTAGATGCCTTGTCCTAATGAGGAGAGGCCTGGAAACTTGGCAGACTGGGGCTCCTAAGATCTTGCAACAGAGAAATTCTGCCAAATAGCTGTTATTTCACATGCGCAGCTTCTCATCATCTGACTTAACTCTGCTAGGAAGCTCTCAGATATGTGTTTGAGCCAGGCATCCTCAAGATGCCCATTGAACACAAGCTCTCAGCCCAGTAACCTGAGGCCGTTGACTCCCAGCACTCAGGCTCTGGGAGGAGCAGGGAGGACAGCCCTGGTTTCGCAATACTGCACTCTCTCTGCACACAAACAGCTCTGGGCAGGAGCACCCTGGGAGCCATTACCCAGCTGAGTTATTAAATGCATCTTTTATCGCATTAACTGTTTCCCTCTGACATCCACCAGCGCTTGGCCAGATGCCAGCACCTCCTTTCCACTTTTAACAGCCCTACAGCAATCCCCTAGACTCCAGCCTAGTTTCTCCATGTGCAGCTCTGATCTTGGTGTGCCCTCAGGCCAACAAGCTGTTTGCATTCAATACCACCAACTTCCATGTGCTTGCAGATATCCGTCCAGCCATGGGATGCTTTCCAAAGACCAGGGTAGAGCAGAGCCATTGGCAAGACACGCCTGTACCAGGAATCGTTTACTTTCCCAGTGGATGCTGAACTGCCCACCTGGCAGTGGTTTATCTACCTCGAAGGAGTGGGTGCACCTGCAGAGCTGCCCTGTGTGAATCCGCTGTGTCCCCTCCACTGCCCAGGGTGAGATGTGTGCTCCTGGGAGCGGGGGAAGCAATGGCTGCCTCTTGCCCCATCACTGCCAGCTCACACGGGCACGCTCTGTGGCATTGCAACAGAGCTGACCACAGCTTTGTTGCAATTCTGAGAACTTGTAAGACAGGAAGGCCTAAAGGGCTGGGAATGAAGACATCACCGTGCCTACATTTCTGTCTGGGGCATGCAGGGCCCTTCTGCCTCATGGGATAACCCATGTCCCTCCAGGAGCTCCTACCATTACACAACCTTACAGAATGCATTGCACTTCTGTTTCCAGCTATTCCTACGCTGTATGTGCCATTGCCAGCTCTGAGAGCTGCTGAAGAAGAGGAGAAGCATTACTGGCCACACCACACTCAGCAGTCCCTGAGATCACGGGTTACGGGGGGGAGGAACACCTCAGCAGGCTCAACCCCTCGTCACCTGCCTGGAGGCAGCTTGTTCACACCAGGCATGCTCAGAGCTCTGACATGAAGTCACTGCAATTAGACAGCTGCGGTTTTATTTTGCTCCTGTGGGTGTGTAGCTGCCTTTCCCAGGACATGAGGAAAGGCAGGTGACACTGGCAGCCAGGGCAGCTGGCTCTGAGCCAGGGAGGCTGCTCACCCGGGACTGCTGTGCCCGAGAAAGAGCTAGTCACAGCTCGTCCAACAGCCCCTTTTAGCCTCCCAGGTTGGGGCTCAGCAAGCAGGACTGCCCATGTCCCTGGGAGTGCCTCCCTGCTCTTGCCCTGTGATTCAGGGCTTAGGACTGTAGCGAGATCTGGAATTAGCTTTATTGTTCCTGTACTGAGGCACACGCTCTGGGCAATGCAGCAGGCGTTGCACAATTGACTTCATTATATCTGAACCAGCAATTATGCTGCTGTTGCTCAGCTCCAGCAGAGAAAACTTCTGTCAGATCACTACTGTGCCCTACATCCCAGCAGGTCTCTAGGAGTAAATGCCACACTTGGGTTATTGAAGATGTTCGGTGATGAAGATCCCTTGGCCCTAAGGCAATTATGCTTCACTACCCTTACAGCAGGCCTTAAACATGCGTCTTCTTTCCCTGAGCATGCAAAACAGTTAATCCTCTTTCTATCCGTGTCTACCTTAAATATATTTTAAGACCTTTATTGAGTCTCTGCTTGGTCTTCTGGTAGTCCCCATTCCTTCAGGCTTTCATTACAGCCCATGACATCTCGCCTTCCAGTCACCCTTGTTTCTCTTCTCTGGATCATCTCCACCTTATCCAGATGAAGGATGAGGTACTACTCAGAGGGCCCTTTCTGACCTTTTCAAGGCATGCGTATATTAAGGAATGGCAAAGGGAGCGTTTTCTGCCCACCTCCATGCTGTGCTAGAACTTTTCAGGGTAGCAAAGTATGTCCCAAATCCTGCCATATTAGAACTGCAGCAGCACTCAGACATACAATTCTGGGCCATCACTAAGAGCCAGCTGGGCTTTAGGGACCCTGCACAATGGCTCAGTGGGATACTGCTGGAGCAGTTAGCATCACAAGGACCTTGTTTGAATTCACAATATCTGCAATATGCAGTCAAGCCCCAAGCTTTCAACAGACCTATTAGTTTCACCAACCAACGTTCTTCTGACTTGTACTAACGCAGAGCAGCCACTGCTGGCGAGCAAACTGCACAGGGCACTGATGGGCTGGAGGTGCATGCTGGCTTCTCCAACTCCCCGCCTGACCACGCTGCTAAGAGGATTATGAGCAGAACAACTGTGTGAGGATGGAGTGAGGGATAAGCAGGGCAAGCACAGATGCAACATCTTTGTGAAGCTCCTGACTGAGGTTAAAGATGCAGACAGGGGCTCTGTTCCTGAAACACCCCTCATAATCTTGTGTTTGCTGTAAAGGCTGGGCTTAAAGTGGAGGGCACTGGGCTTCCTTGCTAGACCCACAGCACAGCTGTGCTCTTTTCTACCTTCCCAAGAAAGCCATATCCCCAAACTGCCCTGTGACACTGTTTGCTCTGCCTGGAACAGGCTGGGTGGAACTGAGATCTGAAAAGTTGGAACAATAGTTTGGGATTTCCTCAGCAGAGAGTGCAGAGAACTGGGGTGTGGATGGGAGGTACCAGGCTGGGCTCTGAACCCAACTCCTCCCCACTTTCAGGTCTGGATGCTTTAGGTGTGGCAGTCTTTAACATACTTCTTGAAGACAGCTGTGTGAGAGGCTTTGTTTGGGTAACTGCAGGCTGTGCTGACAGGGGTTCCTGTACCAGCAGGTACCTGTCAAGATCTGGCTGGTTCCCGAGAGTGGCAAGTAGGGGCTTTCCCCTGCAGTGGGCAAGGCTCTGCCCCTCGGGTATCTTCAATCTGTTTTTCCCATCCTTCAATAAAGAGATGGTTGAATTCTGACTTTATAGCCTAGAATTTGCCTTGCTTGCTTTTTGTACCTCTCTGGTTGCTGATGCAGAGTCCAACCATGTTCTGCACAATGATGAAAATGTTTCCTGAGCAATTCTGGCAATCTTGTGATTTCTAATGTGGTCTGAAAACATTTGTAGGGTCTTCTTAGATGTGTGGGTTACATCTCTGTAAGAGAGGGGTTGCCTCAGGACAAATCCAGTCAGAGTGAGCTCAGCCTCTGCTGTGTGCTTGCAGGCTGCTGCTACCAGCATCTGGCAGGCTGCTGAGCAGTTAGGCACTGACAAGATGCAGACGATTGGTGCTCCCTGGATTTAGCCAGATGTTCTTAAGCATTTCAAAAAAGCTTAGACATCTGTTTGGACATTTCAGATCAGAGGCACACGGGGATGCACAGCTCCAAATGACTCATGGCTCTCTTGTCAGTCAGTGCTGCTCTGATCGTCCAACAAAACAGCATCTGAGTGGGTATTTTCACTGTTGAACATGCATTTGCAGCAACAACAAATCAGGGATATTTCACCCTCAGCTCTCTACCAGAATGGTATGTAAACAGTTCCAGGCATTTCTTGGAGAAGTATAACATCATTTTACACCCCTGGGTGCCCCAGATTTTCATACAAATGTTCAGAATTTGGGTGAAGTGTGCAAGCCTTCACGGACAAACCGTGGCCTCAAGCTGTGTGGCCACCTGAGATACTGCTTGCTGCCTAGCTCAACACTTGTGCTTCCAACCACTACTGCAAAGCGTTGTGTTAAAAATGCCCCAGAATTAATTGGCACCGTGGAATTAAGAAGGGTGCTAGGACACACCCAGTCAGAAGTGATGCCTTGACATCCACCATGCATTTCAATGAACACCTTGGCAAAGATTTTCACAGAGAAAGATGATACCATTGCTCCTTTTCACTCCAATTAACTTCTGGGTTCAAATTTTGATGCCTCAGTGCTACCAATTACTCTCTCACTCTCATGGACTGTCTGCATCAGCATGGTCTGTGTTATCTAGTGATCTCTGAGGTCACTCAAAGGACATTTATACCGGGGGAGGCATTTCCAGAGTTATCTAGTCACCACAGCATCCTGTGCATGTTCAGCAGCACTCAAAACCTGGGTCACCTCTGTGGAAAAAAAACTCAACATTTTCCCACCAGCTTGATTAAACCCATTCTGATCCTTTGGTTCAGCCATTTCTACAGGTCTCAAAAAATGCGTTGCTTAGACACCGGCACAGGCTTCTCAGCAGTACTCTTGCTTTCAGTCACTTTATACATGCTCATCAGTGAAGGTGACACTTTTCAGGTGACTCAGGCACAAAGAAAGGCCATTGTGGGTGGATAATTTAGGTCCAGCTTTCAACTTTCAGATCAACTGACAGCAACTTTCAGTGAAAACTCATTAAATCACAGCGCTCAGGCAGAGGCAGGACTGGTTCTGCACCATAGTGGATGCTGCGAGCATTTTGGAGGGGGTAGGACATGTTATTCATTGTAGTAAAGCCAGACATCACTGAAGTCACTGCAGACTCCAATAAACCCCGTCCAAAGTCCTTCATGCTCTCCCCATCCCCTCACCATTCCTTTCATAAAGCTTTGTGAAATCATATCAAAACTGGGGAGGCAGTGGAGAACCAGGCTGGAGAAGAAGCCCTTCAGCAGGCAGGGCTTTCAGACACAGCCCTGGGGCACAACAGTCCTTGATGCAAGGGACAGGACAGAGTTCTCTTGCTTTTTTTTCCCACTGATCTCCAAAGAGGTCAGGAAAACATGTTCTCATCTCTAAAGAGTATCCTCTGCCCATGTTTCCTCCAGAAATTCTCCCAGATGTTTTTTGGAGGCTTTGGGTGGCTGGCAGAGACCTGGTTCTGTGCTTGTCCAGGGATCACATCAGCACTTACACCCACCAGGAGGGAAGACCTGGGCCAGATTCTTTCTTGGCTTTCCTGCCTCAGCCCCCAGAGTCTCTCTGGGTTAGTGCCTGGATAGCGGCCAGAAGGGCACTAAGCTGGAAGGTGCCGTCTCTGCTCTTCAACAGAAGCCCCTCTGCCAAGACCGGCAAGCGTAGCAAGGCCAACATTTATGGCCCTTTCCTCGAGGGGATCCCCGGGTCTCCCGTGCTCCGGTCAGGGGATGCTTCTTCCCGATGGCCCAACCCATGCACCCCACCGGCTATCGGACAGCACAGCCCCGTCTATGCAAATCTATGCAAATATGAGCAATGCTCGCAAATCTATGCAAGCGTGTGGGGCCGTTTCGGGCGGGGCGGCCCGCCCCGGAGCGCCGGTGCCGCCCCCGGTATAAGGCGGTGGCAGCGCCGCCGTCTCGGGGCGCGGAGCTGCGGCAGCCCGGGGACAGGCAGGTCGTGCGGCAGAGGCGGCATCATGGTGAGTGCCGGCCCCGGCTGCTC